AAAATAGAGAATCTTTGCCAAGTCATTAGTATAACCTGATACCAAAACTGAACAAGATAGCATCAAAATGGAAACTTGCAAATAGAAACCAGTTTTTATAGAAAGGAATCACAATCCAATAAGATTTATGCCACAAATGAAAAGATGATTCAGACTTAAGAAATCTATTAAGGTGATTTACAACATTAACAGATTATAGAAGAAAAAGCATATGATCATCTCAATAGATACCAAGAAGTAGTTGATAAAACTCACATTCCTGACTTTAGTCATTTAGGAAGCTAGGAACAGACAGATGCTTCTTTATTTTGATAATGTCTACTAAACTTAGAGGAGGCATCACACTTAACAGTGAAACACTGGAATCAAGTGACTAAGGACAGCAGCAGGACAGACAGGATGCCAGATGTCACTACCATGTCACAGTGTAGCAGAGATTGTCGCCAGTGCAATAAGACAAGCAAAAGAAATAAGTATAAATACTGGAAAGGGAAAGATAAAAATGTCATTACTTGTAGACATTATGCCTATCTTCCTGGAATAGCTAAGAGAATCACCTGAAAGACTATAAGAATTAATAAGAGAATATATTAGGGTGCTAAGTTATAAAATATAAACATAAAATCAATAGTGTTCAATACACCAGCAGAATCCAATTAGAACATGTAGTAGATAAAAAAAGATCTCATTCATAATAGGAACAAAATATATAACAAACTTAAAAATTACTTCACAAGAAAAGTATAAGAGCTTTGAAAAAAATCTACAAGACTTTACTGGAAGTAAATAAATGGAGACAAGTATGACACCCTTGGATGGGAAGGCTCAATATTATAAAGATATAAATTATTCCCAAATAGATAAATACATTTGGAGCAATCCAATCAAAATTTTAAAAGATTTTTTTTTTTTGCCATTTGAAGAGCAGATTTTAAAAAATCATTTATATGAGTAAAGGATTGATAAAAGTCAAGATACTTTAAAAAATATCATTAACAAAAACAACAGTGAAAGGAAGACCATCTATCAGATATCAAAATATAAAGTTATTACAATTAAAGTTCTATTTGTACACAAATGGCACTTCTGGGTCAATGGAATAAAATAGAGTGAAAAAAAAAAAAACAGTTCTTGGAAATAAAAGAAGGTTAATATATATAAAGAGGGCAGCTGAAGCCAGCAGATACAGGATGAATTTAATAATGATTTGGTGACAAATATTTAATTTGAAAAAAATAAGGCTAGATCTTACCTCATATCATCCAGAAAAGTAAAGTACAGATGGACTAAACGGCTAAACTTAAAATATGAAAGTAAAAAATATTAGGAAAAAAATGGAAAAATATTCTTATAACCTTAGGGATTTAAAACCTTCTTAAACAAAGTACAAAATAAAAAGAAAGAAAATAATTGATAAATTATTATTAACAAAAATAATTGATAAATTATTAGTAACAAAACGTTTTGCATGTAAAATATACTTAAATAAAGTTAAGGCAAAAGTGATAGACAAAGGGAGAATATTTTCAACGTGTAACCATCAAAGAATTAAAATATACAATATAATTAGAAAATAAGACTAATTCCTAAAAATCAATAAGAAAAAGACAAATGGTCCAATAAAATAATAGAAGAAACATATAAATGTATCTTTCACAGAATAAAAAATGCAAATAGCTTTAAATATAAGAAAAAATGCTCAACTTCAGTAGTAACTATGAAAATGTTAACGAAAAAGAAATATATATTTTTCCTCACATACAGTTGGCAATGATTTAACAGACTGACAATACTAAGTATTGTTGACAATATGAGAAAACATAGTGCTGTGGCCATGAGTAAATTGCTATGAGGTTTTGGGAGCTTAATTTGGCAAATATTCATTAAAATTAAAGATCTATATACATCTCAAGTCAGCAATTCTACTTCTTGTATAAAGAGGTTTGCACAATGATATCCTCTGCGGTATTGTTTATAACATCAAACATTGAAAAAGTCTTAAATATTCATCATCATGGGAACTATTGATTGTTAATTCCTGCCCACCATGGACCAATGGTGAACCAAGGGGGTTGGGCAGGACGTTGGGAATAGCCTGCCCCAGCAGGGAAAAGTCTTTTATCACTAACTTTGCTTAGAATTTTCCATGCATGGTGCAAGGTGATAACAAAAAGATGGATTTTTATTGGACTTATTGTTTTAAAATTCTCTACAGTCAATGCAGCCTTATTGCTTGCACCCTGGACAGATTGCTCCCACTCCCACGCTCCCCCTGGGGACCACAGCAATGCAATCTTTTGCAGGCACTATGTGTAGACGTGCGCTGACATCTCTATCACTTGCTGTTAAAAGAAAGAGGCAGAATAAGATGCAGAGTAAGATGCTGATTTTGCTAAAACACAGATACATTTATAGAACTATGTTTTTAAATGTACTATACGTATATGAATGCACAAATACAACTGTAGTCATTTTCGGGGAGATGACAGGGATTTAAGGTTGTGGTCAAGGGGGACTATATTTGTATGTTTTAATATTTTTTACATTATGTTCATTTACTTAAATAAAAAGTATGCAAACAGTTAAAAACATACATATATATGCGATGTGTAATTTTTTTTTTTTTTTTTTTGAGAAGAGAACTGCCATAGTAAACTAAGTAGAAGGGAGGATGCAGAGGACCAAGGTTTTGAAGTCTCCGAAAATGCAACGCCATCGCCACCTAACGGGGAGGAGAGGACACTGCCAGGGAGGCAGAGGCAACACTGGTTCCAGTGCCTTTCTGCTGGTCCCTACCGTCTCGCTGTGGATGCCTTGCAAAGATTAACACCAGAATACAACTTTCAAGCCACCTCAGAATAATTAGGAAGCTTCGGGCACAAAGTTGTGGTGGAGACGTGGCATTTTATACTTGCGAGTGAATCACGTAGACAACCCTCAAGAATATCCCTTGAGGCAAGTCACCCAGAGACTCTGGAAAAGACTCTACTTGAGCTAGATAATAATGATTCACAGTTGAAAAGAACTTTATATTTCTACTCTGTGATCACAACAATCCACGAGGCAGATTTGTAATGATCTTGTTTTACAGAGGAGAAAATGAGAGCTTAGACCTAATAAGGGATATTTTCCAGGCAATACATTAGCAGGCCAGGCATGACTGATGCCAAATTCTGTGACCCGAGGACCTCTGAGTCCACAACTATCTTCAGGGGGCCCCAGGATCAGGGATCTGGCTGTTGCATTCATAGAAGGTCATTGTAGCAGATGCTGGTGATGCCCCAGCCTGTACTCCCTGGACCTATATGAGTTGTCTGCAGCTGTGGGGCACAGTTTCTGGCCCACTCAGAGCTTCCCACCTCAGACCTGGGTCTCCCTCTTCTTGTCCATCTGAGGGACTTCTCAGGCACCATCCATGCAAACCTGGCTGTGTATGGAGTTAATGCCCACGCTAGGTGGGACCACTCTCCACCACTGGGAGATGGAGACTGTGGATAATTGCTCCCTGTCTTCTGGAGGAGAATTCTGAGCTGTGATCCACATGGCTTCTCAGAGGGTCCCTGGTGGGATGGAGCCCCAGGTGCCTACACTGTACCTTAAGTGGCCTTTCTCACTTCCCTGTCTCACTCTTGGGCTTCCTGGGATCTTTTCCCACATAAAGCTACACCCAGATCCTTGACTCAGGACTTACTTTTGGTGGAACCCAAACTAAGAATGCAGTGCATGGTAGCTGGGTATTAGAGGAGATGCAATGGCATTCAGGAAGTGGGTGTGGTTTCTCCAGGAGCCGAAAAAGTCAAGTTGATAGTATTGCGAGCAAGTGATGATGATGTGCCTACAGAAGGCAGAGGCAACGCAACTAGATCTTCCATAAGACTCTCGTTTTCCAATATTGCAATCTACTGCTTATATAAGGTCATTTAATCTTTCCAGGCTACACCTGTCACTTTTGAGTTTAGAAAATATTGTTATGGGAAGGCCAGAGTGTGTTCCACAAAGTTCGGTATTCAGTCCACGGTGATCACAGCACTTCACCAGGAAGAGGCGAGAGAGGGCAAGGGCATAGCGTGATCACAGGCGTAGAGCTGGGAACAAGCAGGTGTAATTAGAGAATATAATATTAATCTGGTTTGAGGTCAAAGAACTACCTGAGATTGTAAGTAAAATGGTATGTGTGTGAGTGTGTATGAGTGTGTGTGTGTGTGTGTACAGGTGCATTGTTCTAGGGAGAGTCTGTAGCTTCAATCATATCCTCAAAGAAGTTCATGAATGAAACCGTGTGGGCAGAGCCACCGAAGATTCTGAGAAAGGGTGTGATGTGGACTAAAGAATCACAGAATGTTAGTAAAGCGTGCCCTGAATTGTCATACTGAAATAACATTTACTGAGCCCTGGGCTGTGTCTCAGGCAGACCTCAGCACTTTATGAACATCATCTTATCCACTCATCACAACCATTCTTTGAAGTGGGTTCTAATATTAGTTCCATTTTACAGATGAGGAAACTGAGACCTAGAGAGATGCCTTGTCCAAGGTCACACAGTAGGATTTGAACTCAGGCAGACTGACTCTAGACCCCATATTCTTAACCCTAAGCCAGTGGCCCTCAACCTTCAATGCACAGCAGAATCACCAAGAGAGCTTGTCACAACAGAGATGCCTGGGCCCCACCCCCAGAGATTCTGATTCAGCAGGTCTGGGGCAGGGCCTGAGAATCTGCATTTCTAATAAGTTCCCAGGTTGTGCTGATGCTGCTGGTCTGGGGGCCACACTTTGCAAACCCACTTTGAACTCTAAGCTCTCATCTCCAGAGAGGATGACATGGAGCCCCAGAGAGTTGATGTGACCTGACTAGGTCACTCAGCTACTTAGCAGCAAAACCAAGATGAGAATCTGGGTCTGTGCATGCTAAATCCAGGGTTCTCTATGCCACTCCTGCTTGGAGGAGGGCACATCCGACTGAAAAGTGTGTGTGTGCTTGCTCGCACCCAGCTTCATTACCTGATGGGTGTCCAGCTCCGGGGGATGGGCGTTGGGGGAAGATAACTCCTTGCTTGGCTCCTCTGAGCCCAGCTGGGCCCTTCTCCACCTCCTGGCCCGCCGGTCTGCAGTGTGGGGGGCCTCCTCAGGCTCGCTGCTGTCCGAGGTCTCCCTGCTGGCTGCCTGGGGGTTGAAGTTCACGTCTAGCTCTCCCTGTAGGTACATCTTCTCGGCTGCGGGGTTCCTGGGGGTCTTCCTCTGCAACCAGGACAGTCTGGCCCGCTGCCCAGCTTCCCGAGAAGAACTTGCCGAGGAGGTCTCTGAGTCAGAGCACATGGCCTCAAGGTTGGGGGAGAGCCCAGAGGAGGCGGAGGTGGCTGAGGGGCCTTGGTCTGAGCCTCGGGCCTGCGTGGGCTGGGGCTGGGGGTTCCTGGGCAGGCCCCGGGGCTGCGGGCACAGCGTGCTCAAGGCCTCACTCCAGTCAAAGTCCTCCTCACTGTCGGAGCCCATCTCATCATAGGCGGACGCCACGCTGGAGGCTGCCTCTAGGGCCTGAAACGTGCCACTCTTAGGTCTGGTCAACAGGTGGGTGGGGGGCAGAGCATCATCCTTCAGGGCCACCCAGTTCCCGTCAGGGCTCTGTAAAACCGGGGCCATGTCTGTGGGCGGGAGGGAGAGAGAAACCAGAGGGGGCTGTTACCACCTAGAGCAAGGTGGGGTTTGTCACCTTGTCACCATTTGTCACCTCCCATGACTGGCTTGTGGGGGTCCTGGGGAGCAGCTGACTCTAGGAAGTCCAGGAGGGCACACCTAATTGGGGGACAGAGTTTAAAGGTCCCCGGAAGTCCCCTGACACCACACAGGGCCACAGAGCTTCACAGATGGAGAGAGAGTCGGAGATCTGGCTCCTATTTAATGTCTACCTGGGTCTGCTGATCACTTCAGTCTCCTCAGAATTGCCCCCTCCTGCCCTAGGCTGGCTTGAGTGTAGAAGCAGAGAGGAGAGGGCTGCTGTTGGCAGCCCCAGGTTCTAGCTCTTTGATCTTGGGCCACGGTTTGTCTCTTAGATCCTCATTTCCCCTCATCGGATGGGAGATGACTCTGTCATCTGCCCTGGCCTACCTCACAGGATAACACGTCCTGCCCTTGGCCCTTTTACAGGTCTCACTCACCACAGCCTCGTGAGATGGCATGTGTGAAATAATAAGATACATATGTTTACACACACATACACATACTCATCTCTGCCTCAGTTTCTTCTAATATTTGGTCTTTGACTGGAGTTCCTGACACAGAGATCCTAAATCCCTTGGAATTTCCTGGGTGATGGGAGTGTCCTTTGCTGTAATGAGGCAACTCTTGGTGGTGGTGGGCTCCAGCAGGTGGGCTGGTCACTAGAAAGACCAAGCCATGATTACAAGATTGGAACTTTCAGCTCTACCTCTATTCTCCACAGAGGGGAGAGGGGCTGGGAAATGACTTAATAATGGATCACTCCTATGTGGTGAAGCCTCCATAAAAATCCCCAAAGTACAGGGTTCAGCGAGCTTCCGGGTTGGTGAACATGTCCACACACTGAGAGAGTGGCTCATTCCAACTCCACGGGGACAGAAGCTTCTGTGCTCTGAACCCTTCTGGATCTTGCCCTATGTACCTCTTCATCTGGCTGTTCATCTGTACCCTTTATCGTATCTTTTATTACATAATAAACCAGTAAAAATAATAAGAGTTTCCCTGAGTTCTGTGAGCTGTTCTAGTAAATTATTGAACCTAAGGTCATGGGAACCCCATTTACAGCTGGTCAAAAGTACAGGGGTCAACTGGGGACTTAGAGCTGGCATCTGGAGTCATGTGGGACTGAACCTTTAACTGTGGGCTCTGACATTAACTCCAGCGAGGGAGCGTCAGAACTGAACTGAATTGTAGGACACCAGCTAGTGTCAGAGAATCGGCTGGTATGGGGAAAAACCCACACCTCTGGTCACAGATGTGTTCTATGTGAGTAGTAGAGGAATAACAGAGTTTTTCCTGCTCTGCATGTAAGTTTATTTTCAACTCAAGGCACATGCCTCATTCTGGAAAAGATGTGAGGCAGAAAGAGGTTGGTATTTCCAATTTCATTTTACAGAGGAGGGAACAAAGACGAGCGAAGTTAAGTGACTTGTCAAAGCCACAGAGCCTGGCCGAGTCAGGATGGGTGCATCTCCACCCGACCCCAGGCAGCCCTTTGTTGTCAACTGTGCCATGGAAGCCCTGGGCCGGTGGTAAGGCACTGTGCAAAGGCAGGCTGGAGCAGGTCTCAGTTTGGGGTCATGGTCTTGACTGGCCTAAACGGGGCTCAGAGCATCTGTGATAACTGGTGGCGGGGTCCCCAAGCATTGATCTGCATGCCAGGGCGGGGGGTGGGGGTAGGCAGTAAAAGCTGCTTTGTCTTGTTTTTGCTGAAGGCAAACAGGAAGATGTTTTCTGCCCCTGTCCCTGGGGAGTGGGAGTAAAATGACACGACATCCTTTAGCTATGGGTACCAGGCCCAGCCCTGCGGCCCCAGGCACAGCAGTTGCCAAAAGAAGCTGTTTTCCTTTATTAGGAACCTTGCAGGGCTTCCTGGGGATGGGTGAAGGGCCCCAGGGCTCTGGAGGGGACCATTCCTCAACTTGTGTGTAGACACCAGCAGTGGTAGGACATTGAGGCAGTGTCCTACTAGATGCTACTGCAAACACACAATTTTCTACCAATTAAACGATTACTACTTCATATAATAAAATTAAATTTATCAGTATTTCACGGTGTCCACAGAGCACTGTACTTGCCAGGACTGTTTCAGAACCACAGCCTTAGGGGATTCAGATGCTGGTTGAACGTGTTTTCCACTCAGCGACCCAGCCCACTTCTACTGCCTGGCTGCAGCTCAGGCTGGCAGGACATCGAGTTCCCTTTCTTCCGAGTCAGGAGGTGGGGATTTAAGCACAGTCCTCCTGGGAGCCTGAGGGGCTGTGTCCTGTCTTCCTCCCGCTGCTCCCTCCACCTTCAGTGTCCATCCTCACTACCTCCACCATCTCCATGTAGTGGAGCCCCAGTGGCCCTCAATGACCTCTGCCCCCCTTGTCCTAGAGTACTTTCTCGTCTTTCTGCCCAGATGTGGCCTCCTCCTTCCCTGAGTCCTCCTAGTGTGACAGTTTGGCTCATTCCACGATCCAACTGTGTTCCGGCTGATCACGCCACAGCTGAGCCTTCCTCCCTGATGACAGGCCCCTGTGGCAGGGTCTGGATCTCAGTCATCTCTCTAGCTCACTCTGTCCCAGAGCCACTTGAGCAACAGAAAGAGCAGAGACTGTGAAGTCAGAGGGCCTGGGTGGAAAGCCTGCTCACCCATTTAGCAGCTATGTGAGTCTCACAGCCTCCGTCCTCTCATTGGTGCGAAGGGCATGGCTAATACCTCCCTGGGTCGCTGTCAGGATTAAATGAGGTGATGCTCATGAAGTGTGTTTCATGTGCCTGCTCAGAGCAGAAGATAAATTCCTAATAGCTCTTTTCCCCGTGCCCAGAACTGAGGCTGCTTTAGTGCGGGCAAAGAACAAGAACTTTGGACTCAGGCAGGTCCGGGGCTGAGCTCCAGTTACATACTGCAATTCCTAGCAGCTGACCTTGGTCAGAGAGCACCTCGCAGCCTGGTTCCTGACCCGCCAATGGGGACAGTGTGACCCTCCCCGGCTGTCGGAGGATTATTATGAGACAACATATGGACAGCATTGGTCATAGTGCCAGCTGCACTGAGGACCCTCGGCTATTGTTATCTGATGTCTGTTGAATTGGATTATACTACTACTATTTAACACCTGACTATGGATCAGCACCTATGTACTCCATATATATGTATGTAGAAAGCAGATACATTTATATCCTATAGTTATTATTCATTACTACAGCAACACTATTTTCATTGACTGTGTAAACATTCAGAGGAGAGGCTAACTAGGGTGTTATCACCATTTACATGTTATGGGCTGTACTCGGCATGGTGGTAACAGTAGGTCTTCCGGGAAAAAAGGGTTCTATTTTGCTGGCATTCTCCCAATGCCATATCCCAAGATCATTAGTCAGAAGGTGTGGAAGGCAGGGACTAGAGAGCCCCTCTGCGTTTCTCCAGAAATGCTCAGGCTCTCGCTCAGTGAAGCTATTAATGGCCGCTAAATGACAATATGGATTTCCCCTGTGGCTGACCCTGTGGGTGCCCCTCCCATAACCCTGGCCCTTGCTACTTCATTGCACACCCTCTGGGCTCCCAACTGCCAGCACTTGCAGTTCTTTGCCTGAGGCTTGCTCCGGTTACCAGAGCTGCACTGGCTGTCCCAGGGCAGGCTGGAATCACCGCCTCTTGGGAGCAGACTGGGCGAGCTGTGGATAAGTACCCCTGCTCCCCTGTCTGCTGGGCAGATGCGTATAGTATTCCATGCGGGCTCTCAGAGTTCCCCAGTGGGGACAAGCTCCAGTCACCCACGGTGGTACCCTGCTTGATAATGAGTCGTTTATTGCCTGCCTTCCCTTCCCTGTCTCATGTCCCCACTCCCCTCTCTGTGCTTCCTGGGCTCACCTCCAAATAAAATACAGTCCTCAGAGCTTCCTATTAGAGTCTGCAAACAGAGACACCCACACGATGCAAAGCAGACTCAGCCCCAGCTGTGGAGTGTGTTCACTCTGAGGGGAGAGGTGTGTCCTATGGGTATTACAATTAGTTGCTAGGTCTGCCCTCTGGACCATCTTCAGAGACCCAACTCACACGCTGCTCCTCAGTGGAGATCCCTGGCCTTCTTTCCTTGAGGAGCTGGCTACTCTGTTCTCTGAGCTTTGCCAAAAGGCTTTCATTTTTTAACACAAACTACAGTAGTTTATTTTCTTGGTTGTCTACCCACCCCCCGCCTGACTGTGAGCTCCTTGAGGGCAGAGCAGCGTCTTCTTTGCTGCTGTACCCCCAGACCCTGGTTCTGCATCCCATCCTGGGTTTGGAAAGACTACTTGTTAATGAACACAGTACCCCTAGGCTGTAGGATCAAGATAGGCTGTTGATGGGGGGCTCTCTGTGAGCCCTACTTTGTGCACCCTCTCCTGGGGCCATGGGAGCAAGCCAGAGAGGGAAGGCCCCTGGTAACGCCACTCTGTGCCTGGCTGCAGGTTGACTGAGTTGTAAATGTGGTCCTGGACCTGCCTCCCAAACTGCTATATGGTGGGCTGGGATTCAGCCCATTGCTGGCTCCTCTCTTTTCCTGCCTTTTATAATCCCACACTGCCATGTTCCTCTGGGTAAGCTAGAAGTTGGCCAACTTTTATCTCAGCAAAAGCACAGATGGCTCCCTAAATACCCAACCCTATGAAAACCCTGGTTGTCAAGCTGCATTGTCGGAACTGCTCAAAGCTGTGCCTGGGCTCTAACAGCACATTCTCTTAGTCCACTGGGAATATCCCTCTGGGACCCTGCTCCCCTCCAACTTCTCCTTTCTCCGAATTCTCACTCTTTCATGATCGAGCAGGCAACAGTCAGTGAGCAACTCAAGAGCGGGGACTGTCCCCTGATCTCTACTCCCCAACACTGAGCACACACTGTGCATACAGCAGATGCTCAATCAAAGTCTATAAAGAGAAAATGTGTTCTGGGGGACATCTGTTAACTGCTGTTAGCCCTGTCAAGACTGAAAGGGGAGTTGCTGTGGTTTACTCAGCCCACAGTGTCCCTAAGACTGACCCCAACTGTGGGCTATCAGGCGCTGGAACCAACCCTTCATCTGAGGCATAAACAGAACTGCTGAAAATAGCTCAGTGGACATTAACCTTCTGAGATGACTTCCACCTCTGGGCCTCCTCTGTTCTACATTTCTGCTCTGCCGAGACTGAGCAATGCCCTGGGAATAATCTGCTTCCTGCTAAGCACATCAGACATCCTTCACGACCTCTGGGGTTGGCCTGGACATTTTAGCACATTGAAGCTGAGCGTTCCTCAGAAAACCCACCAGTTTTCTACACAAGTGTTTTATATATATTTTTAAAAATCTCTATCCTGACAAATGCATGGATTTTAGAGCAGAGTTTGAAGTCTTTTTGTGCGCGTGATGCTGTTGAACTAAGTTTTACGTTTATATGTATACAACTGATAAATTATACATGGGTGCCTTTTTTTTTTTTTTTACAGAAAATTAGGTAAAAAATCATGTCTTGAAAGTGAAAATCCTTTGCAGATTTATCTAGAATGCTCATAATTCAGTGGAGAACTATTTTGTGAAATGGAATGTCTTTTAGAAGAGCTTATAATATCCTCTAAATTTGTGTTTGTAAGTCTGAATTTTGAAATGCTATTTTGTTGTTGTTGTTTGTTTTTATGGTGGGGAGACACTTGCCATCATGCACGAGCTGAAGAAGCCTGCTACCTGGAGCCATGGTGTTTGGGTTTGAGGACCACATTAGCTGTGGGATGCTGGACAAGTCTCTCACCTTCCCTGTCCCTCAAGGTTCTTATCTGCCACACAAGGCAATGACAGAGCTTAGCAATATTGTTGGAGGAATAAATAAAGCACTCCCCTCAGATAGACTCTGTACATTGTACAGTGATTTTAAAAGGTCATTATTATTGTTTATTGAAGATCTATTATATGATATTCTTATATGCCTTGTGGAATCTGAAAGTCCCTTCTTTGTGGGAATTTTCAATTCATGGTGAGAGATAGAGAGAAAAAGAAAGAATAAGAATAAATGAACAAATATGGATATGCTGGGCAGCATGGGGAAAGAAAAGCATATCTAGAAAGGAAAACGAACTTAAAAACCAAAACAAAAAGCATACACATAAATAAAGAAAACTTCATGTGCTCACAGAATCTCTGCAGTTTCTACTGATAGGTACTAAGAGGTCAACATAGAAATGATCTCTTTTTGAAAATCTTAAAATCACTGTTAAAAAATATTTAATGATTTTTGATTCTCTGCATTGTGATAGCAATAGAATTTGTTTATATAGCTGTTAGTTAACTCTTCTCCCCTATAGAATAGAAATGATAGCACAATCTTTAAAAATGATTTTTCTAAAATGAATATTTTGCTGTAAATTTGTTGTTGTTCAGGAAAGGAGTCTATATCTGACATATAACATGAGTTTATATAACAATGGTTTCTTCTTGCGAGGACAAATGTGCCTGGCTTCCAGTATACAGCATGTGTATTTAGGTGAAGAGAGAACAGAGCTGTGCTGGGGTGGCCTGAGCATCTTTACTCCCACAGTTATGGGGCCCAAGAGACCACCTGGCCTGAGCACCGGGGGTTCACGGCTCTTAGCCGTTACCCATGTGGTTCTAAGCATCTCACAGTCTTCTGATGTGTGGCTTTGGGAAAGTGACTCAGCTAATTTGAGCCTCTTCGTTGTGAGGGATTATATGACTTGACAGCTTTATAAAGGACTGTGTGTCATAGATGTTGAGGAATCTTCCAGGGAGGCGAGCTCAATTGCCCCATGTAGAGGTAGGAGATTCCAGGAGCATGAGCATGAAGAGGGGACAGCAATGCCACCCTCAGGGGTGACCGGGATGGCCAGCTGCCCATCAAAGACTCGTGCGCTTTGGCTCTTTCATGGCGCAGCCGTGTTGCTGGTTTGCATCTGCCCAGCCAGGACTACGTTTCCCAGGCCCCCTCCAATGAAATGGGGCCACATGACTTGTTCTTGCCCATGGACGGGAGAGTGGTGTGTGTGCCATTTCCCTGCTGAGGTGGTTAGGAAGCAAGTGTGCTGCCTTCTCCGTTCCCTCTTCCTCCATCTGCTGGCAGAATACGAATGACCCAGCGGAAGACTCAGTGGCCCTAGAGGCCCGCCTGCCCTCTAGGCAGGTGGAAGGAGCCTCTGGCTGCTGAAGGCCTCCACAGCCAGGACACTACAGTGCACTACACTGTTGGGTGATGAGAAAGAGAATTATTGCGTTAAGACACCTAAATGTTTGGTTTCCTTGTTATAGCAGCGAGTGTTACCTTAACTAATGTGTCAGGTTTTAGAAAGGACACTCTTAAAACCAGACCAGTGCTGGGACTCACATCCCTTTGAACATGAAAATGCCCCGCTGGGTTAGAGTAGCACTGCTGGCTGACATGGGACACTTGCTCCTAGTCCACATAGAACCCGCAGCTGAAGTAGGGCTGTGCAGCTGAGTGACTATAACACACTTGCCCAGGAGCCCGCCACCGTCCCACAGGTCTCAGCAGGAAAACAGCCCAAGCGGAAAACACGACCACATTGTATATTGTGTGCTGTGCCAGAGGCCTCGTGACTTGGTGGCTCAGTTGCCCCACAGGGGCACACACCCACTCACACTGACGGGAGGAAGAGCTGAGGGGCCATGCAATGGCCGAGAGGCCTCCGAACAGCACTTTTGAAACCCACAGACCCACCAGACGCTGCTTAAAACAGTTACTTGTCTCGTCCAGCCTGTCCACGCTCTTCCAGCTGGGCAAAGCCCACTCCTCCCTTGGCTGCTGGCTCTGGTCCCTCGGCTGCCTCGACGCAGCCTCCAGCGAAGAGGTCTTCAGGGCATCTTCTCTGGTGAGTGAGAATGCAGACTGGGACCGCTGGGGAAAGAGAAGAGGGGAGGGGGTGAACTCAGAAGGCACAGTCACTGGGATGGATGCCTTCAGCTATTCGGCAGACACTGGACAGCGTGGAGGAGACATGTTTGATGGTATTGGCTTTTCTTGAGTTAAGGCTTAAAAGCTGCAAATCAGTACATGATGCTATCTAATGGCACACATGGTTCCCTGTTTGTTCCATTGCAAGCTGGCCAGGACCACGGGAAAGCAAAAGCGACATAGTGGAATCCGACAGAGCCAGTTCTCATATGGCTCCTTCTTACCCAGCCCTTCTCCCAGCTAAGATCTCTTAGGTCCAATTGTTTGTGATGAAAAATGAAAGCATCTTCCCCTCACAGACCTCCAAACCTGAGAGTTCCAGCGGCGTAACCAGAAAGTTATAGCACAAGGTAAGTGCTGCAATAGATATGTGAGCCGAGTATGGGCAGTCCACAAGCCTAGAACTATTGCAACATATTCCTATTTAGTGTCTGAATTAAAGAAAGGAAAATTAACTCCAACCCAAGGAGAAGTGGTAAAAATGGGGTTTCAAAGGACTGACAGGAAATATGTTTGAATTGTGTCACACACATATGTTACAAATATCATCTATAGAGAATTTGAAGCTCAAATGTTATATAGAAAGAATTTCATCATAGGAGACTAATCTTTTCCTTTGTCATTCAATGAAGGAATTATCTTTTACTGGTGATTTATTTTGTTCTTTTTATATCGATAGGCTGAGGAGGGAAAGGGCAAAGCCTCCGAAAGCATCTGTGACCACAACATGAGACAAAGGACGGATCTCTCAGGCCCCTGAGCAGTCTGTCACCACCTGCTAGCCGTCCTCAACACCAACAGCCCCACTGCCTTCTCTCCCAGGGAGAAACGGGCTCATCCTGGTAATCTGCTTCCTCTCCCACCACAGGTGCAAAGAACAGGAGACAGAAGGAGAGCATCTTCGGAGAGCTGTGAGCAGGTGGTTGGAGCTGAACTGAAGAGTCAGCTGTACCGGGCTCCAATACCACCTCTGCAATAACACCTTGGCCAAGCGACTTCACTTCTTGAGAGATGTGGAAACTTAATCTTGCCCTGCACACACTAAATGCATAATACATGGGATCTTAAAAAAGGTGTTTGTGAATACCAACAAAAAATAGCAAACACCAGCACCAGGATATTTGGGTGACAACACTGAGCTTCATAACTGGAGTTTGGGGAGAGGACAATGCACCCCATAGCCTTACCCCAAAGGATGGTTAACTAGTCTGAGAAAAGACACGATGATAACTGAGGATCAAGGTCCAGCCTCCTCATCATCAGAGGCCAGGCCAGGGCCCAGGAGCCCTCAAATATAGGGTATCTGGTACACTTTGTTGGAGAGGGTAGTGCAGGCCAGTTCCAGGTCAGAAAGAGTCGTAGAAATCCTCTTCTACTTCCCCCCCCAAGACCCTGAGGCCAATCTAGGAGGAAGATGGGTTTGCAGAACAAACATGGAACCCTCTAAGCTGTGTACCCAGGGTCACAACCTACCTCCCATCCCTGTGAATAAAGAGGAGAGCATGATGGGCCTCCAGACTGCCTTTCAATGTAGCGGTCACAGGGTAACACAGCTCAGAGGCCGATGAGCTCTCCTCATCTTATCAATTCTATAAGATTCTGTGTGCATTCAGTTCATGCATGCCACGGTCTGTGGGAACCCCCTCCCCCAAGCTGGGCTGGAGTCCTGGGCGTCCTTTATGCTTGTGCTATACTATACGTCTCTGCAAACATCTGAATTTTGCCTGGTGTCCTCACTAGACTGCGAGCCACTGAGGGCAGCTAATGGCCTGTTAGTGGTGACATCCCAAGCCCCTGGCACAGTCACTGGTATAGAACCAGAGATCAATGAATGTTTGCTGTGGAGTGAATGTAATTTGAGGTGGGCTACAGGGTGGGTAGGGTTTCAGGATGGGCTTTCAGAAGTGCCCGATTATTATTATCATTATTATTTTTACTAACTTCTTGGGAAAAAATGGGAGCAAGAGAAAGAAATACGAAGAATCTCACTGTCAATCTCACTTACATCATGGAGGCCAAGGTCTTACTTGGGGAAGAGCCAGACTAACACACACACGTCAAGTGGCTTTCAGCCGGGTGACACTTCCGTCATTCCGAGGGCAGAGGAAGCACTGATCCTGTCCTAGGGTCCTAAACAGCTTTGATGCTCGACAACCACCACGGTTTTCTCAGGTTGGGTGTTCGGGGAGCCATCTATGATTTTGTTAAATCCTTGACAGATGATGCACGGCTCTCAGAGATGGTCTGATGGTCACCTGGCAAGTGAAGTCAGTAAAACTGAAGGAAAAAAAATCCTTCTATGGTAAACCCCCACGGACATTCCTCCCACCCTGGACTGGCAAGAAAGTGCCCCTTCTGTGAGATCAGAGGATCTTCCCGTACCCTGTTACAGCCATACCCCAACTTGTTGACTCTTCCACAGACGGTGAGCCCCTCGAAGGCAGGGATGGTCTTTGGGTGTGATCCTCGTGGCATGTTTGTTACTGAATTTATAGGATGTAAGACACAGGTCTGGGAGCTGACAGCCTACCGCCAGGTGCAGTATTACTGCAGCCTCCCATGAGCCATGTCTATACCCTCGCCTTCCTGTTTATATCCCCAAGCTTCTCATGTAGATCACTGAATATATGTTTTAAAAAGGGGAAAAATAACATTTAATATTTTATTTTGCAGTGGCTCAAACAGTATTTTATGGCGTATGTGTGTCTGTAGGAGATGGCTGGGGTCCATTTTTATGGGACAAAAATGCTCCCTTCACCTAAAAAAGCCAAGAACAACAAACGAAAAGTCCCTCTCTGGTCCCAATAGGGAAGACAGAATCTGTGTTTTTCATGAGAGAGTTGGGGGTGCCAGGATTTTATAATCTAGTTCAGGCAAGCCATTGTTTCACACTAGAAGAAAACTACCCTGACAATCACTAAAAGCCCCAAAAAGCTTTCTCCCACAGGTCTCAGGATGCTGCTGGCCCAGGTCTCCGGCCAGGGCAGAAAAGCCCCAGTTCTGACACCCAGACCTGGTTTTGCTAAAAATTCATTGCAATGAACATATTGCCCAGCAGATGGCGCCACAACAATGCTTTTACTTGCCAGTTAGTTCAACCTCAGTGGCTCCTGGGAAGTGATTGGATTACTTGAGTAATTTATCTGCTCATTAGCCTGGCTGGACCTTCTGTACCCACCTGTCTTTCCCACCCACAGCCTCTGCTTTCCTTTCCCTCCTCTTACCCACCCGAAGGTCCATGGAAGCAGGGCTGGTGACATCAGGAAGGGCTGGCTTGAGTAACAGTGTCTGCACATCTCCTCAGAGGGGCTGGGAATGGTTGGTGGAGTCCATGGGTCCAGGAATGTAAGCATGCGAGCAAAGCCTCACAAACACAGACTTGAGTATTTGAGCTTTGAAGCACGCCCTGCCTCTTAACTCTTCAGGCACTAACTAACGGGTGGTGTGTTAGGTTGTGGGTCAACACCAGCTCCTCCCCTTCTATGTGGGATCCTGGGGGGAACTTCAACTGTTCTCAGCCTTAGTTTCCTCAAGTAAAGGGATCAGTGTCACGCCTGGCACATAGAAAGCACTCGATAAATATTAGCCAAATAAGAGCATTTATTAAGCTCTACAACTGAGCCAGAGCAACATATCCATTCTCTCATTCAATCTGATTGGATACACATGAGTAAACTGAGGCAGGGCTGAATAATTTGCTCAAGGCATACGAGTGGTAGGGGGCAGAGGCAGGGTTTGAGCTCGGGTCTATCTGGCTCCAAGTTGATGCTCGTCTGTGCCCTCTCAGTGCTGAGCCCGAGCCTTTGCTGAAAGCCTGGGAACAATGCACTCCTGGCGAACACGCTCCAACCCAGCAGGACTTTCCATCAGAACCAGCTGGCTCTGAAGCTCTGGGCGAAACACACAGTGTGAGCATCAGTTACCTTTGTTATCCCTTCCTTTGCAGTCACTGCCTCCCACAAGCAGCAGCATCGTGCTCTACCTATACCTCCTGGAATGGTATACTGTTGCTATGATTAACATCATCGCCAACAGAGCAGGCTTCCCGAGGCAGTGGTCACGGCTTCAAAATAGTGTTTGTTTTCAAGGAGCCCATAACACAAAACGGGGAGAGAATATTTTAGTTTGAAGAATTTGGGGGCAAAGGGATCCATAACAGTGGTCATGCAAATCAACAACTGAGATATAGCTATGCTTTGTAGGGTCAGGCATAACCATTAAATTCAATCCAATAATTATAACAACAATAAAAAATAGGTCTACACTATAGTCAGTCAAAGGAGAGAGCGAATGGGAGGGAGGAAATGACAGAGACACAAAGAGAAAAGGCTGAGGGAAACGGAAAGGGATAGAGAAGAGACCGAGAGAAAGAGTCAGACAGAGATGCATCTTAGTCATTGGGCACATGGTGAGTGCCTGGCCCCTGCTGTCATGATTATTATCAATAGGATCACCATATTATTACGGAGACACCTTTTTTATATACATGCGCCCAGAGAGACAGGCATTAAATGGATTATAACCCCTGCACTAGTGCCTTTTAGGATATTGCATCTTAAGGCTTTGAAAGTGGGATTGCACTGACCCGCCTGCTGGCGGAGAACCACACAAAAAAGGAGGAAATTAAAAAGAGAACAATCACGCTGAACTTTCTTTCAAGAGAACAGATGAGACGTTCTGTCTGAATGGGGGTGGATTAAGTTTGGGTTTTGCAGTTAAGCCCAAGCAGTGAGGCCCGCAGCCTCTGGGATTCTGCACAGTTATTCCCTGAGTCAGAGGAGTCCAGGTCCTTGGAGAGCTGAGGAAAAAGGAGGGAGTGCTGCCAGGAGGCTGCAGGTTTAGGGCCCTCCGGGGTCTGCAGGTCAGGGAGCGCTCCTCAAGACAGCATCAAGAGCTGCAGCCTGTTGGCATCACCTGGGGAGACTGTGGTCAGTATACAGATG